TCTGAACCTGAAGCTACAATATTTGAGAGCCAACTCACTGGAAAAAACCTCGATGCTGGGAAAGACTGAAAGCAAAAGAAGAGGGCACCAGAGGATAAGATGGTTAGAAAGCAGCACTGACTAAGCGGATGTGAATGTGAGCAAACTCTGGGAGCCAGCGAGCGACAGGGAAGCCTGGCATGCTGCAGTTACGGGGTTGCGAGGAATTGGACAGGACTTGGCAACTGAACAACAGCCAAAAAAAACTAAGATTTTAGAAGGGAAAACTGTGTGCAGGGTATGTGGGAATTTTCTGTACTATCTACTCAATTTCCCTATAAATCTAAATCTGTCCTAAAAACAATGTCTATTAATTAAAATATGAATTTATAGGAGTATTAATATGAATCAACTTAAAAAACGTTAAGTAAATGTATCATGGAAAAATATTAAAACATGACTTTTAAGTTCAAGAGTAGCAAATAAATGTTATTTAGGATAAAAACGATAAAACTGAAAATAAAAACAATGGAAAAACAGTATTACAGGTGAGAAAAATGAGCTTTTTGTTCAAAGTTCACAGAACTTCTAGGGTCAGGAAGTATAGTACAAAAACAAGATATGGAATAGTGGTTACCTCTGGGAGGGCGAGCGGGGAGAAGAGGGTAAGAGGAGGGAGGGAATGGAATATGATCAGGTTTGAGCACAAGGAGCCTTCTGAGACTGTTCTTATCCTGGATAAAGTATATATGTATGTTTCTACATCTTTTCTTCTATATGTATGCTATATTTTAAATTTTTTATGTTTATTTAAAAAGAAAGGAAAACTTTACCTGGCCCTGGGCAGGCTCTAGCCCTAGTGCCCTGGCACAATTATTCTTCATGGAAAGCTGCTCTCCAAGATCTGGTTAGGGGTCTTCACACGGCCTTGTCCTCTGAGGTGGCTCCCCCTGGCCTCCCCTAAGCTGACAGAAGCTGCCTGCCTGATCAGCGCACTGCTGGCTAGAGTAGCTCCAGATGGTGGTCATCTCTGTCCCTTCCTGTCAAACAGCATCAAGCTAAGCAAAGCAGCAGCATGGACTGGGGAGCAGTGGGGACCTGTGGGGGCTTTGGGGATCAGTTTGTTTTAGTCCATCAAGGATGGGGCTGACAGAGGCCTCTCTCAGGAAAGGTTGCTGCTTGCTACCATTCCTTCCCAATTCCTGGACTGAATCCTCACTGTCCTTGGGGATTGACAAGGGAGATAGGCCAGTGAGGAGAGTGGACTGAAGTCATAAGTGGATGATGATCCAAAAATTAAAAATAATTTCCCCAGGGCCACAGATCTACATAGGACTAGACCTGGCACTGAGAGGAGATCAGGACAAATCTGTTGATCTTGCACCAAAGGGGCACAGCCTGTGGGCCAGAAGGCAGACTCACGTCCACAGGGATGCTGACCCCAAAGGATCAAAATTTAGCCTTGGGAGGCCAGTCTTCTCCCCCAAGACCCACCCCAAGATTCCAAAGCTAACAGCCCTACCACAAAACCCCACACACCAGATGATCCAGAGAGGGGTCCTAACCCCCTGAGAGATTAAGGGCCAAATAGCCATTGACCTGGGCCTTCTTCCTGGTGGTAGGGAGACATCCTTCCTCTGAGAGGCTCAGGCTTCCTACTGGGGAGAGCGGAATTCCTCTGAGGAGGCAATGAAAGGATGGAGGCTCAGAGGACACAAGTAGCCAGCAATCACCATCACACACACACACACACACAATAGGAGGCTCAGAGAGGACACAAGTAGCCAGCAATCACTCTCTCTCTCACACACACACACGATAGGAGGCTCAGAGAAGACACAATTAGCCAGAAATCACCATCACACACACACACGATAGGAGGCTCAGAGAGGACACAAGTAGCCAGCAATCACCATCTCCAACACATACACACACACGCGCGTGCGATAAACCTTGTCAAGCAGTCTCCCTCAGTCCTAAAGTAGATATGACCTCAGTCCAGGAAACACCCTCCAACCCAGAGCCAGCAATGGCTGTCTCATGGGGGAAGGGGTCCCAACCCAAAGGCCTCAGCAGACCTCACCAGAGTCCCCCATAAGCTTCCACTCCAGCAAAGGGAAGTGAGATGGGAGTTTCAGAGACTGGTAAGTTCCTGGTTCACCCCTAACTTGCAGCCCATGGATGGACTCCTGACACAGACTGGGGCAGCTGGGACACACCAACCAGAGACAGGGAGGCTGCAGGGCTGGCCTGAGCTTACAGATTCACGTCACAGAAAGAGGTCCAGCTAGTTAGCCTCTCCAAAAGTTCAAAAACAGATCATTCTATCCTTTCGCTATGAAATCCCCCTCCGGGGATTTCACCCAAAGAAGGAAAAAGTTGAGAGAACAAAGGTGGTCACCAGTGTTGTTTATATAAAGAGACAGACACTGGAAGATTTAAGTGACCAGTGAGAGCTGCATTGTGATGGTACTGTCCCTGCCAGACAGTTTGGAAGCTCTTAAATCCAGTAAGCCTGGATGGACAACGAGAAGTGCTTAGAGCCAATGTTCTCCTCACAGCTACAGAGATCACAGTCAAAAACACAAAAACTCTAGGGTGAGAAATCCTGGACAGATGAAGACTGTTTGCTCATCTATGAAATGTGGCTAATTTAGTGATGATGCCTCAGGAGTGTGAGGCTAAGATGTGATAACACAAGAACAGACAGAGCTTGCCTCATACCTCAGGCCAGACAAGTGCTTAAGAAACAGCAAATCTAAATGATACAGCTTTTATTAGCCCCAAGTAATTTATTACCAGTAAAAAAAAAAAAAAAAACAAAATCACTTATGACACCATCAAGTGTTGGTGAGGTTCAGGCAATAAGCACTCCCATCTATTGTTGGAGTGCAATCTGACAGCATCTATGAAAGCCTTAAATGCACGTACTCTGAGACCAGAAATTTCACTACAAGGACTTGGCCTCTGCAAGTCTTTGGCATATTACATCAAGACATGTTCAAATCCCTCACGTTTATACACTGGAAGTGATGAACAGATTCAATGGATTAGATCTGGTAGACACACTGCCTGAAGAACTATGGATTGAGGTTCATAGCATTGTACAGGAGGTGGTGACCAAAACCATCCCCAAGAAAAAGAAATGCAAGAAGGCAAAGTGGTTGTCTGAGGAGGCCTTACAAATAGCTGAGAAGAGAAGCAAAAAGCAAAGGAGAAAGGGAAAGATATACCCAACTGGATGCAGAGTTTCAGAGAACAGCAAGCAAAGATAAAGCCTTCTTACGTGCAAAGAAATAGAGGAAATGCAAAGAAATAGAGGAAATGCAAAGAAATAGAGGAAAACAATAGAATAAGAGAAAGACCAGAGATCTCAAGAAAACTGGAGATACCAAGGGAACATTTCATGCAAAGATAGGCACAATAAAGGACAGAAATGGTAGAAAAGATTATGGTGACAAGAATATACAGAACTATGCAGAGAAGGTCTTAATGACCTGGATAACCATGATGGTGTAGTCACTCACCTAGAGACAGATATCCTGGAATGTGAAGTCAAGTGGTCCTTAGGAAGCATAACCATGAAAAAAGCCGATAGAGATGATGGCTGAATTCTGGCTGAGCTATTTCAAATCCTAAAAGATGCTGCTGCTGAAGTGCTGCACTCAATGTGCCAGCAAATTTAGAAAACTCAGCAGTGGCTACAGGACTGCAAAAGGTCAGCTTTCATTTCAATCCCAAAGAAAGGCAAAACCAAAGAATGTTGTTCAAACTATTGCACAATTGCACTCATGACAGTGCAGACTGTAATAATTACATACAAAGCTGGAACCAGGTGTCTACAAACCACAGAAGGGTTACAGAAGTAGTTCCGGAACACAATGGGATTCTTGGAACTGTTAAGACAAGGAAGAGCAGAGTGATAATGCTGGCAGCAATTTCTATGTTTACAGCATGACCAGTTTAATTTCCATATATGTATCATTAGGTAAAAGCTCAGAACTATTTTTCTAAATGCAGTATTGAAAAATTTTGTGGAGACACTGGGATTCAGTAGAGACTGGGAAGTAGATGTATTTTTAATTTTATACCTTTCTCTCTGAACTTTTAACCAAGTGTACATTTATGTAACACATAATACATTACAAACACATGTTAACAGGGTTACCTGAATGGCAGAATTATAGGCCATTTATTTTTTTGGATACATGTATTTTTTTTAACCATTTTTAAGTAGTTTGTTATACAACCATCATCCATCTTGAGTTTTCTCAACATTCCAAACTCATACTCATTAAACTCCCCCATTCAGTCTTCCTCTATGCCCTGGTAAGCACCACTGTCTCAATTAATCTGACTCTTTTAGGGATCTCAAACAAGCAGAATCTTTCTACTGTCCTTTAGCAGCCGGCTTATTTCACTTAGAATAATGTCCTTAAGGTTTATCCACGTTGTACCATGTGGCAGAACTTCCTTCCTTTCTGAGTAACAAAATATACTGTTTTGTTATTCTACTCATGACAATGGACACTTGGGTCATTTTCATCCTGAAAAATGTTGCTATGAATGTGTGTATGCAATGTTTGAGACGTTGTATCAATTCTTTTGGGTATACATCAAGAGAAATGGAATTGCTGGCTCATGTGGTAAATGTTTTTGAAATTTTTGAAAAACGGTCAGACTATTTTCCACAGCATCTGTATTACAGTCCTACCAGCAATGCATAAGGGCACGTGGTTATTTTTAAACTGTTTTCTTCTAATGGCTGCTAAGGAGACTGACATGATCTTCTGGCTTTTCTTGGTGTTGCTGGTACCGTGTAGTTTGTGAATTAAGTAACATGTTCTGTGATGGCAACTGATATCCTGCACACACCCAAGCCCCAAAGGTGTAGGCAGAGCAGGGCAGAACTTCTAGACAATAGAAGCCTGCCCTCTGTGGCCCATGACTGGTACCCCCTTCCACTACCCCAGGGCAGGGAGGCTCCTGGGGGAAATGGAAAACCTTAGTAAGGCACTTACCTCAATAGGCCCTCCCAGTGCCAGGGATTCCTGGCAGGCCTGGTTGTGGCTGCTGTCCCCAGAGGCCGAGGTGAGGTTCTTGTTGAGTCAGGCTTCACCGCCTGTTGTCGGCAGAGATAATGCATTTCACTATGCGGCAGGCAGTGCCCACAGCTTCTGGGTCAGCAAGCAGGCCTAGGCATGGCTCCAGAGACCTGGTTATGGGAGGTGCCCCCACCCACAAGCCACTACACGGTGAGGCTCCCAGGGGCCCTCTAAAGTCAGGCCTGCAGTTTCTGGGCCCTCTAACTCCCTTCTCCCAGGTTTCTCAGTATTTGGAGCAGGAACACCTGCATCAGAATAGTAAACTGGGATGAGATTGAAGATGCAGACTTTTCGGTCCAGGTCCCAGACTTGGATTAAGGTTTGGTGTCAAGCCCATAAATCTCAATCACTGAGACACATAATCAAGTTCCAGAATTACAGATTCAGGCAAAAGCTGGCCTCATTCTCTGAGGAAGAATTCAGAGCCAGCTATGTGGCAAGGAGGCTGGCAAGGAGAGCACCTGACACAATGCTGTAGGGACCACATCTGCCAGATTCCTGGCACACAGCGTGCAATCAGAAGTGAAGAGTGACGGCCCAAACCCAGGGGCACGGAACACCCTTCCTTAGGACCCGCCTCCCTGCTCAGAAGGACCTCCAGGAGAGAACAGCAAGGTTGCAGGGTGATTCCACCAATCCCCAGTTTCCCAGGAAAGAACTGGCATTCTAGAATCTCCATTACCCTGGTGAGAATGATGATGTTCATAACAGGGACCATGCTGAACTCCTCACAGGATTATTCAGTCCTCAGTCCAGGGGTGGATGAGGGAGCCCAGAGTGTGCAGGCTAATCACCTGGCCCCTGACCAGCCACAGCACTGACAGTGAGTTGAAATGAGGTAAGACTAAGAACCCAGTCCAGCCTGCTCCAAACACATGTTTCAAACAATCTGGAAGGAGTCAGGAGGAACAACACGCATCAGGTTAAAACACCCCCGTTGGCTGTGTGGAGATCCCAACAGCAGAAGACTGCAGGCACATGGAAGGCCATCCCTTGGCAGGCTGCTTGATCTCCTGCAGGTGGCTCAGTGAGACAGTCAGAGCTGAGCTGCCTGATCCTGCCCCTGCTTCCTGGGGCTCCTCACTCTTGTAAGGTTTTTTGTTTAGGAAAGCAAGTAACAGTGGCAGGGAGAGCTTCATGCCAAGTGAAACTCTTCCAATTCTCTGAAGTGGACCAAGGGTGTTTTCAATCCTATGTCAGGTGCTCTAAAAATACAGTATTGTTACCCCAACACTGTCGTGATGGACATGCTGGAGCTGCAGGCATGAAGGGCCTGAGGAATCCAGTGCAGGGTACTGCTGGGGTGGACAGGCCAGACTAATCCAGGGGCTCCCAGCAGAGATGAAAGGGGAGGAACTTCGTGAAGCTGCTGACTGAAGGCAATGTACAGGCCTGGGTTCCAAGGCACATTCTGATCCTGAGAGAATCTCAGGGTTCGCGGTGATGAGCCTGACATGCAGAAACAAGATCAGGAGGGTAGGGCTGGGCTTCCTCCCCAGAAGAGAGGTTTCATCTCTTCTCTCAAAGCACTGATCATGGCTGCTCATGGCAAGCTGAGGAAGGACATGAGCCTGCAGTTTCTTTTCTGGGCCGCTCATTCACCTAGTCTGACTCCAACTGCCTGCTGGGCTCTTTAAAAACTTCTCTGTCAAATGATGCTACTCAAGCTTTGGTTCTCATACTGAAAGATACTTAAACAGTAACTTTTTGCCCACTTTAAATTGCAGTTACCAAATGTTCTAGGCTCCTAAACTATTGTACCCTAGACGTGAACAATAGTTCTGTTTAAGACAGAACTTCCCATTTATGTCAAATTCATACTTTGTACTACTTTTGACTAATTTTGTTTTAATGAGAATTTGAGATTAGTTGCACCACCCCTCACTACCTTGACCTCTAAAAGCATCATTTTAAAAGGAGAGGGTGGGTAAAGTCTCCCAGCACAGGAGCCCAGGAATGAGACCCCTGCTGATCCCACAAAAGAATGTTGAAACCAGACATCAACCTCAGCACCCCTGACAGAGACTGGCAAAATCAATCTAAAATCCGGCCAGACTCTTCCCAGGAAGTTACCAATGGAAAATGCAAACAGATGAACCAGCTCAGTATACCTGAGGTTCCCAATCCTTCTGGCTCCCAACACTCTGGGAAGAAAAGGAGTCTATTTATGGCAAATAATTCTACGGCTGAATCAATGCACTGTAAACGAGAGACCAAAAAAAGAATCTATAAAGGGCTTCCATTCTGATCAACCCAACACCATTACTGTACAAAAAACAGTTTTATTAATTACCCCAACTGCGCTTCTGTTCATGCTCTCGGTCACACTTGTTTCTCAGACTCAGCCCAGGCTCACAGGCAAGTTACCAGGTTAGCAAATCGGAAACTGTTCTGCAAAACAGCAACTGTCAGCTTAAGGCATTACTAACATTGCAGAAGGAAGCAAGGTTACTAGGGAAGTTTGGACTACTCAGGATGATGATTTCTGGGACAGGAAACCCTCCCTGAAAGGGCCAGCCCATGCTGCCGCCGGGAGATGACTCTTGCTCTGGATGACAGGTCGCCCCTTTAAACCCATCCACAGTATCACAGACAAAACACTGTCTAGTCCTCGAGCTTTCAGATTTTGAAACAAAAAGCACTCTGTCCCAGAAGCCCCGACACGTCCATGGGCCTCTCAGAGCACTCACTTGGTCCTCCCTGGCAGGAGCAGGGGAGGATGGAGGGCTGGTCAGGCTCAGTTTTTAAAAATGAAGTCACTACTAGAAATATGGAGTAAGGGGCAGGGACCCCTGCTGCAATCACATGCTGAATCATTGTCCTCCCAGAGAGCGGGCTCCTACAGGTTCCTTCAGTCCACGGAAGTGCTCAGAGCAGGGCAGGCCAGTGTGGCCTCGGAGCTGCTGCCTGCCTCACTGCATGCCGAACCACTGCTCCTGGTCAGCCCACTGGGCCGCCTCACTGTCGCTGCCCTCCAGGTCCCCTTCTTCCCCACTCCCTTCCATGTCGTCCACATCCTCCTCCTGAGTGGCATCCGTGGGACTCTCCTCCTTCTCCATCTTCTGCATCCCCTCTAGAGACTTCTGGTCATTGGGGTCCAAACTAGGGGACAACAAAACAGAGGAGAGGCCTGAATCTCTGCCTTGCTTCTTGCTGGCTGATGTGTCATCTCCCTGGTATGGCAGTGAAATGACCACCCAGTCACAGAGAATCTGCTAATGCCTGGCCTCTCCAAACAACTCCAGTTCCATAGGCAGGATTGAGGGAGTCCACCACTAGAAGTGAAAAAGGCGTCTTGTCCTAAGTTTTAGATTCTCAATTTGAATTTTCTCCATATAGTTCTTTTTTTTTTTTTTTTTCATATAGTTCTTAAATTGTTTCACACCTATAACCCCTAGCATTCTGCCAGAGGAAGATACTAGATAAATGAAAAAGCAGCAAGCAATCATTAACAGAAAAATTCAAATATAATTTAACAGTATGGGATTTCTAAGTTACAAGGTTACAAAAAATACTTATTTTTCTGTGCGTTAAAATTGTTTCATGTTCTTACAATTAAACATATCAGCATTTCAGAAGGCAACCAAAACCATCATGCTTACCATGAACCAGATTTGTCAACTCCTAGGTTAGACCCCAGGACCCAAAGTTACCCCTACCTGGGCATTTGACTGGAGGAGCTAACAGTACCGCATATGTCCAAACCCTCAAAGTTCAGAGGGTCCAGAACATATATTTTACTTGGTTCCTAAGCAATCTTTCCTCTTGCCTTTGTGACCATCACTGAGGCCAGCTGACGTTCAATCTCTAGCAAATCCCACCTCTATATTTTAGTTTCTCATTTATTTGCTTCTGGGCTTTCAAAAAGCAGATGAAATGCACGTTGGAATCCTGTTCCCACTTATGTAACTGTAGATGATCTGTATCATCTCTTCTCTGAAACCTTCCATACAGCTCTCACCCACACCCATGGATTCCCACCCTCTGCACTCCCACCTTGCCTTCTAGAGATTGCTTTGAAAGCACTCAGCACATGGTATCTATTAGCCTGAACATCTGAGATTGTGAGCTCCCGGAATCACAGCATCCCCAGTGGTTACTGAGATGCCAAGCACATGAGTGGTGCTCAACTGCTGAACAAGTAAATGGATGTGATCAGACTCCATTAAAGACAAGCCTTCACCATAACTTTATAGACACACAGACAATCCTCAAAGAAATCACTTCTGTATTAAGCAGTAAGAATACCACTATTTATTTAGTATTTACTATGTACCAGGCACAGTGCTAAGAGCTTTACATGAAATAATCATTTAATCCTCATTTAATCATTTAATACCTAATAAGGTAGATAGATATATAGACAAGGAAATTTGTTAGTAACTTCCCAAGATAACAGGTGGTAAAGGTAGTATTCTTCAGAGCTTAAGTTCTTAACTACTACAGTGGATAGAAACATGGGAAAGTACTTACAATACGCTGATTTGAAAAAGCAGAATATAAAATATATACTACGTATAACCCTATAAAAATATGTATATGTGTTGGCAAGGCCAGGAAGATGATCTACACAAATGAAAACAGATGTTATATGTGGCTGGTTATGAGTGAAACAGTTCTTTAATGTTGTTACTATCACTTAAGACTTTAGAAGTCATAAATTAACAAACACTATCACTACTATTATTACTGTGTTTTCAACCGTGGGCACAGAGTGTGTGTGCTTCCAAAACTCCTGTTACACTGATCCCTGCCTCCTCTACCCCTCATGACCTTCCCCCCCATGGGAGGCTAAGTGCCTACCTTAGTGCTATACTATACTGGTCCATTGCTTCCTGATACTCATTGACAGCTACAAGGAAATCTCCTAGGATCCGATGCAGGACACAGTCACTCTGATTAGCTAGTGCATTCCTCAACAAAGCAATTCCATCTTCATATTTCTGTTCTCTGCCTGAAAAGAAAAAGACCCTCATTTTCCTACTTACACATTTCAAAATATATTCCCATTTGCAAGTCATATACATATAACCACAAAAATGATCACAATCCAAATATCTATTTATAGATGTCAAGAGAACACTGGTGTGGCAGGAAATAAGAACAAGCTCATTTGAATCCCTATTCCATTAGGAAGTCAGCAGTTTGAGTTGATTTTTAAAAACTTATACCTTTCCAATGGTTCAAAGGAATCAGTTCCTCAGGCCATCCCTAAATGAATGTGTGAGCAACTGTTAAAATAATTTTACGAAAGTCGTCTGTTTGAAGTTTATGTCTACTCTAGATTGAAATTTGGTAATCTTTGTTGTTCAGAAAATTATTCATGTAGCCTATCATGTCAAATTTATAGGTATGAAATTGTTCAGTATCTTTACATAATTCTGTTTTATACAGGTTTTCTAGTTTTATTCATAATAAACTAATTTTTTATTGGCTTCACAGGGTTCATGTATTTCCATATAGAAAAATAATACTTTCCTTTTCCAAAACCCAGCATTTAGTTGTACCAATGAAGCACAGTATGTACTTTCCAATTGGCACTTTTAGGTTAAATAAAAAAAATAAATAAAAATAAAAACTTATACTTAACCAAAGTTCATATAAAAAGCCAAAATGGACTTTATTTGCCAAACTAGCTCAAACTCAGTTCCTCACAAATCAGGATTTAAAAAAACCAAGGCTGAAAGGGAAGTAACAGGAGAATCATGATGGGTTAAAACCAGTTGTATTCAGCCCAAATTAGTTCAGGACAAAGTGAGCTGAATAGGTACTAACCAAGTATAGCTGGCTTGAGCCACTCCAGAAGTAATTCACTGCCAATCCAAGAAGGTCTAAGCCAATTAAGTTTGGTTGTGCTAAGTATAAACCAATTCAAATAGGCTCAGACCGACTGCAAAAGCACACACCTGTTTGGTCATCTGTAACCAACTGGGACTAGAGAATCCAACTGGACTCAGGTTTTACACAATTAACTAGGAACAGGGAAGTAAACAAGATACTTACTAAGCAGTTCTGCTTTTTTCACCACAGCCTTAATGTAATCCGGCCTTTGCGTCAGGGCTTTATCTAATAAGGTTTTGGCTTTCTCCTGTGTCACCGGGTCTTCAAGACAAACAGTGGCTAAAAGGGTAAGGGTCTGTGCATTTGCTCCTAGAGTTTTGTAAACATTGTTAGCCATTACCATTGCTTCACGAATACTGTTGGAGGCTAAGTAACATTCGATGAGACCTGAAAAAATATAACACAGAAAGTTCAACCACATTACCATTCCAAGCCATGCTTCCATTCTGACAGCCTTCCAAACTGCAAACCTTCAGTTTCAAACAAAAGGCAGGTCAGGGGAAGACTCTGATGGTGAGATCAGACTGAAGGGCATGTTAGTGAAACAGCTAAGAGGTGCTCTTCCCAAGAGCACTTGATAAATGTAGAAAAAGCCTGTAGTGCAAACACACCTTTAGTGAAGGAAACAAATATGCATAAGTAAACCAAAGCATGTAGCCAGCTCAGCTGACTGTCAGAGGAACAAATGTGACACTACTCATTAATTGATACTGTGAAAAGATGAGGTTTCCAACAAAACCCAAGGTCTTGCTGCCTTTTAACAAGCTGTTAATTTCCAGCACTGCTCAGGTCACCTTTAGTCCTAAATTTAAGGGGGAGGGTTCCTATTGTTCACCTCTAAAAACTGAAGAAACTAGGGGGCAACCTAGGGTCTCCCTAAACTGGATGAAAAGGGCTTATCACAGAAATCAAACACACTGAGACTGGTGGCTCCGTCTTTACACCCACAGCAAGAGGCTGATGCTCCATGGGGACATTTCAACAGTCAACTCTCAAGTCTTCATGCCAAAAAATTGAAGAGAACAGAGGAAGTACTCTTTGGTACAAAGCACTCATCAAAACAGAAAAACAGCTTAAACTCCAAACCCACACACTCTCTGGCAGATTTTCTCTGTATACACTCCTCCACCCTAGTGGCATTTATAACATTTGTGCACATTCTACCACACACTACAGTTACTTAACTAGAAATTACCTAACTCTTAAGGGCAACATGGTGGACTATGGAATATGGTTGGTTGTAACTAGTTGAATAGTTTTACTTTCCTGCTAAAGCCCCATAGGAAATTCAAAGGGAAATGTTAAGAACACACTTCACCCTTAATCCAGGGCC